ATTCGAACATCTCAATGTGACAATAAAAAATTAGTCAAAAATATCCGACTCAGAGGTAACAGAGTGGTCAAATATATATAAAAAAGTCGTAGATAATTTGTGAAACAATAAAATAAAGCATGCTCGTGAAGTGGTAGTTATCACAGTCCAAAATGTAAAGATAAATTGTAAAAAAAATGTAGTTTTAAAAGACTGTTCCGAGATATGTATCCACTAAGACATCTCGCGGGTGGCACCCAGTTGGATACGGCTCAATTGGACACGAGCCACTCACAACGCTTGAGACTAAAAAGCTCCTAGGCACCCGGTCGCTGTGATTGGTGGTGTCCAATCGAGCCGTGATTAATCGGGATCACCCCACTTTGTTTGTAATAGAAATATATGCTTTATTAAGACTTTAAGTGTCAGTTTGAAGATTAAGACTATTCGCTTGTTTTTTAATGTTTAGCATTTCCGAGATCAAACGTTTATTATAACATGGTTCTTCATCTAAAACTTTAATGTTATCCCAATCGAAATCATGTTGCGTTTGCATCCTATGTTCAGTTATCACAGAACGGATAGTCGTGTTCCAATTAATATGTTTGCGATGTTCTGCAATCCTTGTTTTTAATTGTCTGCCCGTTTGTCCGACATAGGATGCATCACATTCATTTCAACAGATCTTATAGACAACGTTACATTTTTTTGATTGTTCTAAATTACCTTTCTGCACTTTAATGTACTTGTTTAGCTTGTTAGTGCTGTGAAATGTAACGTCCGCCTGACAATTCCGTGGCGAACGTCACGATCGGGGACGCCAACACGTTGCCATGACAACGTGAATCGTCGCGAAATCGCGGCACAATCGGGAACCGCGATCACGCGCTCATCGCGTGAGCGAGCAACCGCCGCACCGAAACGCGCTGCGCCTGCGCGACCAGAATTATTTAATTACACGAATACTCAATTAATGCGACAGCAATAATAAGACTGTAGACGGCAAACTCGAAATCCCTGCAGCAGAAAACCTCGAAATTCCTCGGGTACCCTTGATCCAGCATAAATGGATAAAAGAATGAAAATTACGTTTCATTCAAAATCTGCATCCGCGAAAGTAACGGCACCGTCTCATCAAGCATCTCGCACTGCGCTTATGATCAAGAGTACTTGACGAAATCCTAGCCGCAAGCGCACTAAATCCTTCCAAGCAACGAAACAAAAACCGTTGTAGTTACCGTTGACGAGAAAAAGAGCGAGCGCTACATGACAGCAACTCCGTTTAGAAAAACTAGCGACGCAGCTCATTGCGAATAAGCGCGCGTCGCAACTGCACGCTATGCAGTTCAGGGGCGGAGCCGATAGGAGGGCCCTGTCAACGCTCAGATCTAAAAATTTCAACCTTTAAGACGATCAAATTAATGAAATTGAATCCGATAGAATGTTCTAGAATAATTTCAAAATCTAACATGACTGTTGACAGGTCAACCCCCTTTGCCGCTCAGCATCACCTCTTGTCATATTATATAAACGACACTCGGCGCGAGCCCGGGGAGTCCGTGGAAATTTTTAGGAAAACCAACAAGCCTTCCGCCAAAATCGCGAATCTCTACGAAATTCGAGCGCGTGCTACCGAGCAAGCAGAAGAGAGAATCTTTTGTGCGTGCATCGACGACTCCTGGGCCCACATTTAGTCGACGGGCATTGCGAATAATCACTTGAGAAGTATCCCAGACCAAAAAGTGAGTTTTATATCGCACTTCCGTCGTTGGTCGGGTTTCAGATTGAGAAATTCGCGCCATCGCGATCGCCATCAGCGGATCAATAATCTCGCTAATCATTGTGCGATCTAATTAGATGAATTTTCCGCGAATAAGCTATTTATGTGTAAAAGTGCAAGGAAAAGGTGGAGAGTAACGGACCATTGTAAAATATTTCCTTTTTTTTTGTTTTTATATTAAAATTGGAGAGTAACGGACCATTGTAAAATATTTTCTTTTTGTTTTTGTATTAAAGTTGCCAACTTCGCAGTAAAACCTTCGCTTATCATTTAACTTCGCCCTCTTCTTTTCTCTTTCTTCTCTTTTCTTCCCTTTCTTTCGTACACTCTCTAGCCGGCGGGAAGTGCCTTCTTGTCAGTGACTGGTCTGTGTCGTCTGCATTTCTGAATATCTCAATTATTCCGCGAGAAAGAATCCAGAGGGGGAAACCTCGCGCGTTAAGGAACGTTAAAAATTCTTTCTCGCGGAATAATTGAGATATTTAGAAATGCGGACGACACAGACCAGTCGCTGACAAGAAGGCACTTCCCGCCGGCTAGAGAGTGTACGAAAGAAAGGGAAGAAAAGAGAAGAAAGAGAAAAGAAGAGGGCGAAGTTAAATGATAAGCGAAGGCTTTACTGCGAAGTTGGCAACTTTAATACATAAACAAAAAGAAAATATTTTACAATGGTCCGTTACTCTCCAATTTTAATACAAAAACAAAAAGAAAATATTTTACAATGGTCCGTTACTCTCCAATTTTAATACAAAAACAAAAAGAAAATATTTTACAATGGTCCGTTACTCTCCAATTTTAATACAAAAACAAAAAGAAAATATTTTACAATGGTCCGTTACTCTCCACTTTTTCCTTGTACTTTTACACATAAATAGCTCATTCGCGGAAAATTCACTTAATTAGATCGCACAAAAATTAGCGAGATTATTGATCTCGATCGCGCGAATTTCTCAATCTGAAACCCGACCGACGACGGAAGTGCGACATAAAACTCACTTTTTAGTCTGGGATACTTCTCAGGTAATTATTCGCAATGCCCGTCCACCAAGTGTGGGCCCAGGAGTCGTCGATGCACGCACAAAAGATTCTCTCTTCTACTTGCTCGGTAGCACGCGCTCGTAGAGCGAATCTCTACGAATTTCGTAGAGATTCGCGATTTCGGCGGAAGGCTTGTTGGTTTTCCTAGAAATTTCCACGGACTCCCCGGGCTCGCGCCGAGTGTCGTTTATATAATGTGACAAGAGCTGATGCTGAGCGGCAAAGGAGGTTGACCTGTCAACAGTCATGTTAAATTTTGAAATTATTCTAGAACATTTTATCGGATTCAATTTCATTAATTTGGTCGTCTTAAAGGTTGAAATTTTTAGATCTGAGCGTTGACAGGGCCCTCCTATCGGCTCCGCCCCTGAACTGCATAGCGTGCAGTTGCGGCGCGCGCTTATTCGCAATGAGCTGCGATCGCTAGTTTTTCTAAACGGAGTTGCTATCATAGAGCGCTCGCTCTTTTTCTCTACAACGGTTTTTGTTTCGTTGCTTGGAAGGATTTAGTGCGCTTGCGACTAGGATTTCGTCAAGCACTCTTGAACATAAGCGCAGTACGAGATGCTTGATGAGACGGTGCCGTTATTTTCGCGGATGCATCTGCAGATTTTGAATGAAACGCAATTTTCATTCTTTTATCCATTTATGCTGGATCAAGGGTACCCAAGGAATTTCGAGGTTTTCTGCTGCAGGGATTTCGAGTTTGCCGTCTGCAGTCTTATTGCTGTCGCATTAATTGAGTATTCGTGTAATTAAATAATTCTGGTCGCGCAGGCGCAGCGCGTTTCGGTGCGGCGGTTGCTCGCTCACGCGATGAGCGCGTGATCGCGGTTCCCGATTGTGCCGCGATTTCGCGACGATTCACGTTGTCATGGCAACGTGTTGGCGTCCCCGATCGTGACGTTCGCCACGTGCGAATTGTCAGGCGGACATTACATTTCACATCACTAACAAGCTAAACAAGTACATTAAAGTGCAGAAAGGTAGTTTAGAACAATCAAAAAAATGTAACGTTGTCTATAAGATCTGTTGCAATGAATGTGATGCATCCTATGTTGGACAAACGGGCAGACAATTAAAAACAAGGATTGCAGAACATCGCAAACATATTAATTGGAACACGACTATCCGTTCTGTGATAACTGAACATAGGATGCAAACGCAACATGATTTCGATTGGGATAACATTAAAGTTTTAGATGAAGAACCATGTTATAATAAACGTTTGATCTCGGAAATGCTAAACATTAAAAAACAAGCGAATAGTCTTAATCTTCAAACTGACACTTAAAGTCTTAATAAAGCATATATTTCTATTACAAACAAAGTGGGGTGATCCCGATTAATCACGGCTCGATTGGACACCACCAATCACAGCGACCAAGTGCCTAGGAGCTTTTTAGTCTCAAGCGCTGTGAATGGCTCGTGTCCAATTGAGCTGTATCCAACTGGGTGCCACCCGCGAGATGTCTTACATCTGTGAATGTACTGATGTGAATACATATCTCGGAACAGTCTTTTAAAACTACATTTTTTTTACAATTTATCTTTACATTTTGAACTGTGATAATTATCACTTCACGAGCATGCTTTATTTTATTATTTCACAAATTATCTACGACTTTTTTATTTGACCACTCTGTTACCTCTGAGTCCGATATTTTTGACAAATTTTTTATTGTCACATTGAGATGTTCGAATGTACGGTGAGTGTTCATAAAAGTTTTATGTAACATACGGTTTTTCTTGCATATATCAATAATAAGTTTTTTTGGCAATACATGCAATATCTAGAAATTTCAAGCTTTCGATCTGTAAATCGTTGAGAAAGAAATTTTGGTTCTAGACACCCATCGAGCATTCAAAAATTTATCAAGGACTATTGTGAATTAACGAATATATGTGGATATCTTGAGGAATAATTATGGATCATCTGAAGATGGCTTAATAATAAGCTGAAACATGTAATGGTTTTCTAAACTTTAATTAAATTTCTTTGTATTTATGTGATATATTTATACTCAAGTATTTATTTTACTCTTATATGTCCTTTCTAATGTCGATCTAGATGTAAAAATATAGAATGTTTCATAAACTGTATTAGGATTTATTTTTAATCATACCTTGTATGTGTCGAATCAATCATGTACGATACTTGTGTGTATTTTTCATCTAGTTATGAAATTATTAATATAACCAATGATACTTACTGAAAAACCGGAGGAGTATTATGCAAAGAATTATCATTTGCCATGATAGTAAAATTTAGCACTGTCGGACACACATCCATAGCACGACCAAGTATATCATTTCGTACGATTACTAATGTAACACCAGCAGGGCCAATATTTTTTTGTGCGCCAGCAAAAATTACTGCAAACTAAGAAAACTCATAATTATAATATAATAGTTATATATACAGGGTGTCCCACAACTCTCCCGACAAATATCATAGACAGGTAGAGCGGATTAAATTGAGACGGAACGTCTTCTACCATTTTTCAATTTTCGCAATAGTTAACGAGATATTTATTTATAAAAATATCCAAATTCGCCCGACCCACCGCCAAATGCAAGCGCGCGGCTCGATAGGACCGCCTAGCGCCGCGTGCCGCGCGCGCTCGCCGTCGCTAGACAAGCGTTGTTTATAACAAGCAGCAATGGTTGTCGCTAAACATGAGTCGCGAATAATGTCGAATTTCCAGCTATAATTATTTTTTGAGCTATGATCATTCTCTGTTCATATCAAAACGAAATCTTCGTACGAAAAATTTATTTTTGCATGCACGTATGTTCGGAAACATATTATAAATTAATATCTCGGTTACGAAAATTAGGAAAATTGAGAACTCTTTCCAAGAACACAGTTTAGTTCGCTCTAAAATGAACTTTCGTCGCGCTAGTCTCCGCGTTTTAAATTGCGAATTATTTCTTGACTATTAGTATCATAACAAAATTATTTACGACATAGAAAAATTGCATTTTCTATGTGCGCGAACGTGCGCACAGAAAAATAGCAATTCTATAAAGTCAAAGCAGTTACTTAATTTGTCTTCTTTTAGGAAGTAATCTTTAACAAAGAATATTTATTTTGATAATAATCCTAAAATGTACATATGGCAAGCGTTTTACTTTTTAATATCATAAAAGAAATTTAGTCTAATGTGTTGAATTCTTAAAAAATTACAATTTTTAATAATAAATTAAAATTATGTCGTGACGTAATAATATTTCTATTAATTAGAACTATGTCGGAATATAATAGAAATACGAAATTTTTATTATGTCGCGGCATAATGTTAATTCGCCGAGTTAACATTATGTTGCGATATAATAAAAATTCCCTATTTTGATTATCAGGTGTACAAGTATGAAGTGCGGATTTGAGACAACAGATGATGCACCAATGCAGTGTGTAGTATAAAGATTTGACGTATATGCCTTTTGTTGTGCCATCAACAAGTGTCAAACACGCATAAGTGATAAATTGAAAAAGTGTTTGCATAGTATTGTTTTGCTATATTCAATATGTCGAAATTTGTGCCAAATAAAGAGCATTCGCGGACAGCATTAATTTTTTGTTTTCATTTGAAGAAAACTGCTGCTGAATCATACAGATTACTTCGAGAAGCTTATGGTGAACATGCTCCATCGCAAGATACGTGTGAACGATGGTTTCGGCTTTTCAAAAGTGGTGATTTCGATGTTGTAGACAAGGAACACGGAAAACCGCCAAAAAGATGAAGAATTGCAAGCATTGTTGGACGAAAACGATTCACAAACACAAAAACAACTCGCAGAGCAATTGAGCGTTAGTCAACAAGTTGTTTCCAACCGCCTACGAGAAATAGGAAAGATTCGCGCAGCGGCGAAATGGTGGGGCGGTTTTCCGTGTTGCCGAGGAGCCAAATGTGCATCACTGCACATGAGTTGAACGAGAGGCAGATGGAGAGGCGCAAGAACACATGTGAAATTTTGCTCGAACGATACAAAAGAAAGTCGTTTTTGCATCGTATCGTTACTGGGGATGAAAAGTGGATATATTTTGAGAATCCAAAGCGCAAAAAATCATAGGTAGACCCAGGCGCATCATCCACATCGACCGCAAGACCGAATCGCTTTGGCAGGAAGACGATGCTCTGTGTTTGGTGGGACCAAAAGGGTGTGGTCTATTATGAGCTGTTAAAGCCTGCTGAAACGGTTAATACCAAACGCTGCCAACAACAATTGATCGATTTGAACCGTTCGCTACTCGAAAAACGACCAGAATATCGAAAAAGACAACACAAGATCATTTTTCTCCATGACAATGCTCCATCACATACGGCAAAACCGGTTCGCGACACGTTGGAAGCACTCAGCTGGGAAGTGCTAGCCCATACGGCTTACTCACCAGACTTGGCTCCTTCAGATTACCACTTGTTTGCATCGATAGGTCACGCACTTGCTGAGCAGCGCTTTGGTTCGTACAAAGATGTGAAAGAATGGATCGATGAATGGTTCGCGGCAAAAGGGGAAGATTTTTACTGGCGTGGTATCCACAAATTACCCGAAAGATGGGAAAAATGTGTAACTAGCAATGGAGCATACTTTGAATAAACCACTTTTTATCATTCTTCCGAATTTAACGTGTTTCTTTTTTTGGAAAAAAATCCGCATTTCATACTTGTACACCTGGTATTATGCTTTGACATAATTTCAATTCATGGAAATATTATTATGTCACGACATAATTTTAATTCATTATTAAAAATTGTAATTTTTTAAGAATTCAACATTAGACTAAATTTCTTTTATGCTATTAAAAAGTAAAACGCTTGCCATATGTACATTTTAGGATTATTATCAAAATAAATATTCTTTGTTAAAGATTATTTCCTAAAAGAAGAGACATTAAGTAACTGCTTTGACTTTGTGTAGAATTGCCATTTTTCTGTGCGCACGTTCACGCACACAGAAAATGCACGCAAACAATTTTTCTATGTCGTAAATAATTTTGTTATGATACAAATAGTCAGGAAATAATTCACAATTTAAAACGCGGAGACTAGCGCGACGAAAGTTCACTTTAGAGCGAACTGTGTTCTTGGAAAGAGTTCTCAATTTTCCTAATTTTCGTAACCGAGATATTAATTTATAATATGTTTCCGAACATACGTGCATGCAAAAATAAATTTTTCGTACTATGATTTCGTTTTGAAATGAACAGAGAATGATCATAGCTCAAAGAATAATCATAGCTGAAAAAATAATTATAGCTGGAAATTCGACGCTATTCGCGACTCATGTCTAGTGACGACCATTGCTGCTTGTTATAAACAACGCGTGCCTAGCGACGGCGAGCGCGCGCGGCGCGTCGCGCTGAGCGGTCCTATCGAGCCGCGCGCTTGCATTTGACGGTGGGCCGGGCGAATTTGGATGTTTATAAATAAATATCTCGTTAACTATTGCGAAAATTGAAAAATGATAGAAGACGTTCCGTCTCAGTTTAATTCGCTCTACCTGTCCATGATATTTGTCAGGAGAGTTGTGGGACACCCTGTACAATATATTATTATTACATATTATATAACAATGATGTATTATAATATTATGAATTAGCTGCAGAAAATCCAATATTACTAAAATGAAAATACGTGGTATAAATACGGAGATCTACTAGCTAATCTAGTAATAATTAACCAGAAGACACAGTAGTGTATCGGCGCTAAGTGGAAGTGTAGCGTTTAGTACCGTGTACCTTTACACGAGCCCACAAGTTGTGAGCCGAGATTATAGGATTTTAATACGGATTAAGGCTCCTGAGTACTCAGCCAAGAATTCTGCGTCGACAGGGGCAATCATAGAATCAGACGACGGCTTGGCGTGGCCGATAGCCACACACACAAGCACGAACCCATGTCCGTGTGTTCGTCTTCGGCGCGTCAAGAACAAACAAGACAGCGAACCGTCCTTCTCACTCTAGTCGCCTGTTTCAAGCGACCGAAAATACTTTCTCGGCAGTCTCAATCGCTCGGCAATATCAGCAAGAGGCGAGGGGCATTCTGTTTAACATATAAATTTTAATAAATTGTAATAATAGTATACTCCTCTCATTAATCCAGAATAGTATAAATCATGTAAAAACGTAACAGTTTAGGAGAGATTTAATTTTTGAAATAATTCATGTTTTGAAATAATCCATAATGGGAGTTTTAAAGCAACAATATAAAAAGAAACTCATTTCTCTTTCCAATTGACGAATAAAAAATTATTTATATTTTTATCATATATTATAATATTAGGTGTTAAACTTAATTCCTATCGCTCGCTACTAGAGGGCTCTGCCTCCAACGCTGACGAGTTTCGACAATGAAGTCACATGTCTTTTGTAGTTTAGACATCGCTGAAAGTGATTCAATCCTCACAGGTTAGATTTCTCGACGCTAAAGAGATTTTCCATTCGATAAAAAATGAATCGCGATAAGCTGTTTTTCCGACATGTGCTTCTTCACTACTTCGACCTCAAGAAAACCGCAGCTGGAGCGCATCGCTTATTATCCGAAGTGTATGGTGATGAAACTCCATCGGAAAGAACATGTAGAGTTTGGTTTGAACACTTCCGAAACGGTGATTTTGATGTGAGAGGCAAAAAACGTCCTGGACAGCCGAAAAAATTTGAAGATGTCGAGCTGCAAGAATTGCTTGATGAGAATCCAGCTCAAACGCTTTTAGAGTTATCGAAACAGTTAAATGTTACTCCAAAGACCGATTGAGTGACGAATTGATGCAAAAAAGATCATCCGTAGTCAACAATCGGCGCAAAGTCATTTTGTTGCATAATAACGCTCGACCGCATGTCGCGAAAAGCGTGAAGCAGACACTTCGAGAGCTTGAATGGGAAGTTCTGCCGCATCCAGCGTACTCTCCAAACTTGGCACCGTCGGATTACTATCTCTTCCGATCGATGCAACACGCACTTACGGACACACACTTCTCAAGTTACAACGAAGTCCAAAAATGGGTGGATGAATGGATCGCCTCGAAAGACACCGCGTTCTACCGTCGTGGGATTACCCTGTTGCCGAATAGATGGGAAAAAGTAGTAGAAAATGGAGGAAATTACTTTTATTAAGGTATTCATTCATCTTCCCTTCGAAACAAATCGATTTTCGAGACGAAAAAACGATAGGAATTAAGTTTAACACCTAATATTATAATAATTTATAATATTATTATCATTAGTTCACATATGAATAATATGAAAGACAAATCATTATTTATAATATTATAATAGGCTCGTGTTTATGTGTGTGTTACAGTACCTCGCCACGATAAATGGCTGAACTCATAGACGTGGAAAAGTGACATTTTGATGACGAAACATGTTTTGTGTTGCAT